AAAAAAAAAAAAAAAAAAAAAGAAGGATGTGAAGATAGACTGTTCTGGACCACATTTCTTCTGTACAATTTGAAGGAAGTCTTTCTCTGTCTTAGCTTCTTCATCTACTGCATGACTGTTTTCCACCTGTACCAGGGATGTTGCTCGAAGGTCAAGCACCGGTACAAGTCTCAAGCAATCTTGTAGTAGAGAACCATGGTAGCTAAGAGGGGACAGGAACAGAATCTGAGGTAGAAAAGACCCAAAGCCCTGTATTTCCTATTAATAACTTATTCACCGATGGATGAGAATGCAACAGAGGAAGAACAGACGTGTTTAACCTGACCCTCTGAATTTTCTTTGTGTGTGTAACAAATACAACGCCCCATGGTTGTCAGCCTTACTGCACATTAAAATCACTTGGGAGCTTGAGAAGCCCTGATGCCCAGGTCACACCTAAACTAGTTAAATCAGAATCTCTGAGGAGTGAGATCCAGGCATCAGAATTTTTTAAAGCTCTCTAGCTTATTCTATTGTGCCGCCAATGTGGGCAATCTAGAGATTTACTTCCTTGGAAACAGAAGCTCTCGAGACCAATTCTTGTTGGCTCAGCCATAGACACGTTGGCAGTCAGACACGTTGGCAAACTAGTCTCATGATACTCTAAACATTTTTAGAGGTATAAACTCATACAGCACACTCAAGTATCGTTTATCTTTCTGTGATAATTTAACATTTTGTGTCTGGTGGCCTCACATAGCTAATGCTAATTGGAAAGTGTCTGACTGAAGTCCAGAGTCCTACACTTGGCAGAATATAGTTTGATAATCAGAGAGCACTCTGAGTTTCACCAGTGCAAAGAATTTAGCAAAAATGTCTATTTAGATAAATATCATATGTGTAAGTTTTCTAATGTCCAACTATCACTTTATGGTTACATTATGCAAAACTGTATAGCACTGGGGCATTATTCTTCTCCCTGCCATTTTCAAAAGATGGTCTTTGATCCCTTGAGAAAGTTAAAGAAATGTTGGTTCTGCAGAACAGATTACTTTACCACATTTAATAGATCCATTTGTTTGTTGGTGACCCAAGGATATACTCTGTAGCAAACAGCCAGTAAATATAATGGCTAGATTTTTTTTTTTTATTAAATCATAGCTGTGTACATTAATGCAATCATGGGGGTACAGGGTGCTGGTTTTATATACAATGTGAATATTTTCTTTTTTTTTTTTTTGAGATGGAGCCTCAAGCTATCCCCCTGGGTGGAGTGCCATGGCATCACAGCTCACAACTCCTGGGCTCAAGCGAGTCTCCCGCCTCAGCCTCCCAAGTAGCTGGGACTACAGGCGCCCACCACAACGCCTGGCTAGTTTTTGGTTGCAGCCATCATTGTTGTTTGGCGGGTCCGGGCTGGGGATTCGAACCCACCACCCTAGGTGTACGTGGCTGGCGCCTTAGCCTCTTGAGCCACAGGTGCCGAGCCAATTTGAAATATTTTCACCAAACTGGTTAACATAGCCTTCATGGCATTTTCTTAGTTATTGTGTTAAGACATTTATATTCTACATTTAGAAAGATTCACATGTACCCTTATAAGATGAACCATAAGATTGGTCCCACGAATCTGCCTCCCTCCACCCATCCTCCCCCCCCCTCCCCCTTCCCTATATTCTTGGGCTATAATTGGGCTATAGCTTTCCTATGAAAGCTATAAATTAGTTTCATAGTAAGGCTGAGTACATTGGATACTTTTTCTTCCATTCTTGAGATACTTTGCTAAGAAGAATATGTTCCAGCTCCATCCATGTAAATATGAAGGAGGTAAAGTCTCCGTCTTTCTTTAAGGCTGCATAATATTCCATGGTATACATATACCACAATTTATTGATCCATTTGTAGATCAGTGGCCACTTGGGCTTCTTCCATGATTTAGCAATTATGCATTGGGCTGCAATAAACATTCTGGTACAAATATCTTTTTTGTACCCCAGCTACTTACCATTATCTGATCTTTGACAAGCCAATTAAAAACATTGAGTGGGGAAAAGATCCCCTATTTAACAAATGGTGCTGGGCGAACTGTCTGGTAACCTGTAGAAGATTGAAACTGGACCCACACCTTTCACTATTAACTAAGATAGGCTCTCACTGGATTGAAGATTTAAACTTAAGACATGAAACTGGGCAATTGAAGCAACATCAAATATACACTACCAGGACTCGATCAAACTAAAAAGCTTCTGCACAGCCAAGAACACAGTAAGTAAAGCAAGCAAACAGCCCTCAGAATGGGAGAAGATATTTGCAGGTTATATCTCTGACCAAGGTTTAATAACCAGAATCCACAGAGAACTCAAGTGCATTAGCAAGAAAAGAACAAGTGATCCCATCTCAGGGTGGGCAAGGGACTTGAAGAGAAACTTCTCTGAAGAAAATAGGCGCATGGCCTACAGACATATGAAAAATGCTCGTATCATTAATCATCAGAGAAATGCAAATCAAAACTACTTTGAGATATCATCTAACTCCAGTAAGATTAGCCCACATCACAAAATCCCCAAACCAGAGATGTTGGTGTGGCTGTGAAGAAAAGGGAACACTTCTACACTGCTGGTGGGAATGTAAACTAATATGTCTCTTTTCAAAAGATGTTTGAAGAACACTTAGAGAACTAAAAATAAACCTACATTTGATCCTACAATTCCTCTACTAGGTATATATCTAGATTTGTTGTTAATAGAGATCTATAACTGGGGTAGTTGGACAGGAAAGCCACATGTAATCTCTTCTAATTATTTGGAACAAAGTACTTCATTTGGTAAAGTTAGAAAGGGGTTATCTTATTAATTTTTTTTTCTTTTTCTAGTTTTTGGCTGGGGCTGGGTTTGAACCTGAAACCTCCAACATATCGGGCCGGTGCCCTGCTCCTTAGCCATAGGTACCACCCTTATTAATTATTTTATAAATGCAACTCCTATTAAAAAATTGCAACACAACTCCACATTTTGCACAAAAAATAAACAATGACAATGAAAATCTAGTATATTGGCTTGGTGCCCGTAGCTCAAGCGGCTAAGGCACTAGCCACATATACCAGAGCTGGCAGGTTTGAATCCAGCCCGGGCCTGCCAAACAATAATGACAACTACAACCAAAAAATAGCCAGGCATCGTGGCAGGCACCTGTAGTCCCAGCTACTTGGGAGGCTGAGGCAAAAGAATCGCTTAAGCCCAGGAGTTGGAGGTTGCTGTGAGCTGAGATGCCACAGCACTGTACCCAGGGCGACAGCTTGAGGCTCTGTCTCAAAAAAAGAAAGAAAATCTAGTATATTATAACAAAAGGGCCAATCCTTCTATTTGACTGACTAAGCATGCTTGCATACTTTCTTCAGCAAACGTTTATGGAGTACCTACTGGGTGTTAACACTGAGCTGCGAGCTGGGATACAAAGAGTTCTAAGACATTCTGGTCTTAGGAGCTCACATGGTATTAGTGAATGAGGCAGGTGGGCAAGTCCAGGGTTGAGATAAATACCATGTGCAGAGGAGCACAAGCTTGGCACTCGGCTACTGGTTACTGGATGCAGCACACTGCATCAATTCCATGTCATAGCACTGTCTTATCCTCCTGGCCAAATTCCTATTGCTTAATAGGAGATTCTGGAATAGAAAGGTACATTTTTCACTACCAGTAGGAATATGCCAATTTGTTAGTTGAATTACAGTGTCATCTGGGATGTGTTGCAGGAAATTGTTTTTTTGTTATGTTTTGTGTTTGTTTGTTTGTTTGTTTGTTTGTTTTCTGAGGCAGGGTCTTGCTCTGTTATCCAGGCTAGTAGAATGCAATGGTGTCACCATAGCTCACTGCAACCTCAAACTCCTAGCTCAAACTATCTTCCAAGTTGCAGGAAATCTAAATGAAATTCATTACCTTAAAAATAGGCTTTTAGATCCTTTTGTGGTTCATAAGTGTGATGATTGGGTTTTCACACTCATGTATGAGATATGCCTCCCTCAAATCCCTGTTATAGCATTGGCACATTACACATCTGACATGAGAAGAAAAGAAAAAATAGCCTTCTATGATCAATCTGCTTTATATACAATAATATATAAAGCTTCTGCACGGCTAAGGATACAACAACTAAAGCAAACAGACAGCCTTCAGACTGGGAGAAGATATTTGCATGCTATGGCTCCAACAAGAATATTTATTAAAGTTTTGTATGCAGCGTCCCTTTTGCCTGTCTGGAAAGTCTCACAGTAAACACTTCCAAAATTATACTTGCAAACAAAATTTAGAAAGTGACTCTTCTCTTAATGATAGAGTGAACAATATTGTTTTAAACCCCAGCAAAGAAGATCCAAGATGGCTCGGCGCCTATAGCTCAACCGGCTAAGGCGCCAGCCACATACACCTAAGGTGGCGGGTTCGAATCCCCAGCCTGGACCCGCCAAACAACAATGA